GGAGCCAAAAAATAAGAGACTCTTAAAAACTGAGAATAAACTGATGGGTATTGAGGAGAGTACCTGTTGGGAAGAGCACTGGGTGTTGTATGGAATCCAATTTGACAATAAATTTCATATTAAAAACAAAAAAACAAAAAAACTTCCACTTATTTTCCAATACCAACCAACACATTTCAGTACTTGTGTGGGCCTCCTATGCAAAGGAATTGGATAACTGTCCTTTAGTGTTAGAATCTAAAAAGATGATGAATAAAAATCATTTAAATGTGTCTATAGCCCTTTTAGTTCTGTTTTCTTACTTCATTTGAACAAAAGTTGACCAGGACGTACTGGGGAGATTTCAGAGATTTGGATTCTTTTTTTCTCCTTCTCTCTCTCTCCTACTTGTGTCTCCCCACCCCTCTACCCACACAGTAGGATATAAATATAAGGAGAATGTTATGTGGCTACATTTACAATTTTATTCTCATCATGTACAAAGTTCATGCTAGTTTTGAAGAGCAAAAAGCATATGTCTACAACATTAGAGATTTTATCTATTGACAAACATACAGCACTTCAATTATGAAATTAATATTTTCCTGGAAAGCTGTCTATAAGAGATACAAATATAAATAATATCAAGTATTCAAGAAAGCTTAATATTTGAAGAAAACTGCCATGCCTTTTCCTAGAAGAGCAGTCTCCTAATTTATCTGTTCTGGAATTTTCTATGTGTTTTATGATAGTTTCCCTAAAGCTGAGTACTCCTGAAGTTTTGGCTGGGGTGTAGAGGGGGAAGGCCGGGGACATAGCAGCCAGATGGAAAAATAAAAAGATTCTGGTGTCTTTTATCTGTTCCAGAAGCTCTGTCTACAATATAAGTGTTTTCTTGGCTTAGTTTGCCCTTGTGAAATACTGGCTTCTGTTGGCAAATGTTCACATGTGACCCATAAGAATAATTTGGCTCCCAGACAAGAGTGTAGTTCTTAGAGGGATTTCCCCTCACTATAGAAATCATTTCACAGAGATCTAGAGTTCCTCAGATGAGAGAAAGATTGCAGGAGCACATCCTTATGACTTTAAAACAGCCCTCTGGATCTCCTCGAGCTTCTAAGATCCTGTTAAAGTGTTTTTGGATCTTGTGCAACTCAGACACCCCTGGCTACCTGGGCCTGTGGTAGGCATTTCTGGCTATCCCCTGCCCAGTCAGTAAATCTCTGCAAAGCACTCTAATTTGCCACATTGCTTTTTGTTCATTTGCATAACAGTAGGTATTGTTAAACAAATAGAAAAATTCTTTGCTTAGGTTAAAGCTACCTCTAATTAGATTTTATCAGAGTGACCGAATATGTTCTTGGTAGTGACATAACTAAAATCCCTATTGGAAGTCACTTAAAATGTGTAATCATCTGTTACCACTTTTTGCATTGAGTTCATATCACCAGGTATTTACAGTTTGTCTGCATCCCTTAATACCAATCCTCCCCCCAACCTCCATTAAAAAAGTTAAATTGTTCCTTTTAGCTAGATCTGTCAGTACCCTTGGCATAGAAGTCTACCATTTTGTTTGTGTCCTTGGTTTGTCTCTTCTGACAAGTCCATCTCTCATATGACTACTATGGCTTGCTTTCCAGTGGGAGCCGGAGAAGCGGCGAATTTTGCAGCTTATGCTTTTGCACCGGCCACCTTGGTCACCCCGCTGGGTGCTCTGAGTGTGCTCGTAAGGTATGTGAGAAATGAGCTTGGCTTCTGTAGAGATGTCAATAGCATGATGAGCTTAAACCACAAGAAATATATTGCTAGGCATATCTCAAAACAAAATATCACACAAGTAATTTGAGAAGACACAATCAAGCGCAACAGAAATGAGAAATAAATTGTTATTATTTAGAAAATATGAGAGGGGGCCTAATTTCCTGCTAACATAAAATAATCATGTGTTATGTTTGCGTTTATTCAGTGAAGCCTAGGGGATTTTTTTCTCTCTCTTACCTGAACACATTGCCACGGACAGCCCTTTTAGTCCTTTCTGTTGTCATAGTGGTTAATGACCACAATTATCAGAGGGTTTAAAAGCAGAGTGTTTGGGTTAAACTTCAACTCCCACTTAAAGTCTTACATCATTTGTAGGATAGTTATATTTGGAGACCTCTGAGTTTCTTTTAGTAATGGAAACGGGTAATTTTCATGTTCCTAGAATGTCCATCTCATTTTTCTGAGTTGGTCTTTATCATGATCCCAGATGAATGTGCTCAACGGGCACGTGAACTCTTACAGTTAAGCCACAGTTTTGTTGCGCTTGTCTGTTCCTTTTATCTATCCACCTCTAGTAGAAAGCTTACGGCTAGGCCTACCCATTTCTTTTCACCTTCTTTGTAGGACTGTTGTGAGAAGTAAATGAGTCAGTACACAGAGAGCACTAGAACACTGTCTGTGCAAGGAGCGGTAATCAGTAGTAGCAGCAGTGTTTTGGCTGAGGCTGCAGTCCTCACAAGTGGCCACATGACCACGACTCTAAGAAGGCACCGAGTAACGGTGCCACAGACTTGCGTGCAAATTGGTACAGATACAACCCTGATGGGAGTGCCAGGGCGTCAAGGGAAGGCTGGTGTGCAGGAATCACAACAGACCTGCTGGTGGAGCATCAGGATCCACTGTCTGGTGTCTGTGGTGAGGCCGACAGGACTTCCAGAGGCCATGACAACCAAAGCAGTGGGACTATTGGATAAGTGGAAGTATCACGGCGGTAGCAGTCGGTAAGGAAATATTTCAATATTTTGACAACCCATATGGTTGTACTTGTGCATACTAGCCAAACATCAGCCCTGAGCAGAGTGATTCTTCTTTAGGCATGTATCTGTCTCTGAAGCTTTCGTGAGCACAGATCTCCTAAATGTATCAAGCCAGTATGATGTAAAAGATCTTGTATGTTGTTTGGCATTATAGGAGAAGATGGGGAAATTGAAAATGACTTCTCATAGGAAGATTACATGGATATAGAATGTCCCTGAAAACTCTTTAGGTACAAAAGCAATTAAGCAGATTTGATTGACCATCATTTCTGAGTTTTAAAATTAATCAGGTTTTTCAGCGTCATGTAGCATATTCAGATCAGTTGATTGATGACTGGGATACAGGGTGCAACATACCACAGTGTGACTTCTGAGCTGCTATGGGATCAAAAGCTAATTGAACGAGTGATTTTGTTTTTCTTCTCCTAACAGTGCAATATTGTCTTCCTATTTTTTAAATGAGCAACTGAACATTCATGGCAAAATAGGCTGCATATTAAGTATATTGGGGTCTACTGTGATGGTTATCCATGCCCCACAAGAAGAGGAAGTCACTTCTTTGCATGAAATGGAAATGAAATTGAGAGACCCAGGTCTGTGATTCAACCAAAAGAAACTCTTACTCAATATTTGGTTCCATTTTCTCTCCTCATCAAGTGAATTTGGGATAATACTGTAAAAGGCTGCAAGCCTCATGGTGGGTTGTGAGATACAGTAAGGTTTGACTGTATTACAAGTCTTCTGTAAAGGTGACACAACTTACTGTTCTGTCCATGCTTCCTCTCTATACCTGAAAGGAGGAGATGGGGATAGGAGAGGCAAAAGGCATATATTCCAACCCCAATTTTGGCTACTTTCCCTCTCTGAAAATAAAAAGTCAGTCAGACAATAGCTGCCATGCCCCATAGTGTTAGCTATGAAATTCAAAAGATATGTTTGTCATAGTCCATTGTAAAATATTGAGAGCCATGCAGTAAAATGTTGTTTTGGTTTTGTTGTTTTAATCTCACTTCCCTTTCTAAAACACCTATGCTCCTACACTCCTAACAAGCTTTCATAAAGATATGATCCTATCAGCAATTTCTGAATTCTAATTTTTTTTTTCTTCCAAACAGGATTTATTTCCTTTGCTGTGATCATAACTGTGATCTCGTTGGTGCTGATTTTGATCGTGGCTCCCAGGAAGGGACAGACCAATATATTGGTCTACATTTCAATCTGTTCATTGATTGGAGCATTTTCAGTTTCTTCTGTCAAGGGCCTGGGAATTGCCATTAAGGAACTATTGGAATGGAAGCCAGTTTATAAGCACCCACTGGTCTTTGTTTTGTTAGGTGTACTCGTGCTTTCGGTGACGACACAGATTAACTATCTCAACAAGGCACTGGACACCTTTAACACATCTCTTGTGACTCCCATTTATTATGTGTTCTTCACGTCCATGGTAGTAACTTGCTCCGCCATCTTATTCCAAGAATGGTATGGCATGAAAGCTGGAGATATCATCGGGACCCTGAGTGGGTTCTTCACCATCATCAATGGCATCTTTCTTCTACATGCTTTTAAAAACACTGACATTACCTGGAATGACCTGACATCCACCACACAGAAAGAAGTCCTCTCGCTGAATGGCAGTGAAGACAAATATGTCTTACTGGAGCACACAGAATATTCAACCCCAGGATACAATGATGACATTACTTTGTTTAGCAGGATTGACGATCAAAGTCTCTAGAAACCCCAAACTTTAGCCAATGGAAGACACTTGGAGAGGACAAGAAATACCTAATTCTTAGAAGAACTATTAGGAAAGCTGACATTTTTAAAGTTCTAACTAATAGTTTAGATGTGAGCCTCCCCCCACTCCCCCCAAAAAAGCCTCGATTTTAGCCATCAAATTTGAAAACCAAGGTTTGGATCCTCCTCCAGAGGACTTCCAGTGTTTTTCATTTCTACAAACTTGAAACATTCCCTGAGCACAAAAGAAGTTCAAGAGTTACATGGGTCTCTGAGTTATTCTTCTGGTCACAATATATTTGGCTGTGCCAGGTGGCTCTTCACTTCTTTGGCTGCTGTTCGTAGTAATTCATAGATAAACTTAGCTATGTGCTGATAAGCAGAACATCAGCCATCATTCTCTGATGAGTCATCGTTTCAAATTATTAAAACTGAGACGCGAGATCACTGATGCTCCCCCCGCCCCTTCCATAACTTCTTTCTTAATAAACTAGATGGCTGAAGAGGGGAATGCGGAAGAAAAAATAGGCCTGCTTTGGAAATCCACTCCTTGGTGGGTTAGAATGCACAAGACACAGTCCATGAAGAGCTTATGAATTGTAATTTATTAGCAGATCATAAAAACTTACTACCAATTCAAAAGGGGAGAATAGAGGAAGGAAAGAAATACTTAAGTGAAACAGTATTTTCTCTTTTCACAAAAACAAATGCAAACGATTCGTTTCAAGGGTTCTTTTAACTCAAACCTGAACAACGTGAGACAAAATTGAGTTTCTGGAGAAGACCAAATGATTTAAGCTTTGGAGTTCCTTATATTCATGTTGTCCCTTTCTCTTACTATTATCCCAAAGGTCATTTTCCCTGTTGACATAGAGACTTTTGTAAAGTCTGTAAATGTAAATTGGCACATTATTTTAATATTATATTGTATACTTAGGTTTTTCTCAACTGTCTGATTCCCAAAGGGTAGGCTGTTTGGAAACAACTAGAAACATCTTTGTAAAAACCTGAATGAATTATCGTAATTATTCCCTTGAAATTTGGCACTTTCATGCTTATCAAGAAAATTATAATTAGTTACTAATCTTTACAAAAATATGCATATCCTATCACAATAAGTGGCAGACTGTCTTTTTCTGTTGAATTTCATCCTGACCATGTTTTCCATACATTTTGTTGACAAGTGTTTTGGGAGACTGGGAAAGGAAGTTAACTTCCTAGAAAACAAAATATTAAGACCTCAGGGACTACTACAGGAAAATACCTTTTGCTTATTAAAACTTACACACAATTTTCCTGTCTCTAAGCACGCAGCAGGAATAACATTTTTGGTAGCCTTTAATGTGTATGGACAGGTATCTTATCACTCATTGATTTCATGGGAAAGAAATTACCTATTTCTAGAACTAAACTTATTTCCATCCAACACAAAACAAAAATCCTAACTAAAAAGTTACGATATTAGAGGGAAAAAAAGAACAAAAACCCTTCAGGTTGATTGGATTTTTCTGTTCCAACAGAATGTTTCATTTGTTCGTAATCTAGCTCAAGTCCGCTCTGGGTCATAATGATAAGTTCTATTATTTAGAATTCTATTAAACGGACTTCAGCATTTCCCAGTTCTATTAGCTATGACTGATGTTCCCAGGGATGTTCAGAGAGGACTGCAAAGTTGTAAAGGGCTGTCACCTTCTCTTCAGCACTTCTCAGTGTTGAGTGCAACTCAGTGCGTTCTGATTTTTGAAAACTGATAATCCATGGAAGACACATGGGTTGATACCTCAGGTCAAGTACGTGTTTACTCTGTTGATTGCTGTTTCACTTTAACTGTAGATCAGATGTATAAGCTATGAACAGAAGTTCGCAGGAAAAGTATTTTCTGAAAAGGTCGTGTTTAAAAATTGTAAAAATTCTTTTAAAGTGTTGTTCCCCCCCTGTTGAAAAACTGTATTGGTTTCTCTAGGACACTTTCTTAGTGAGGAAATGAAAGACATCCACCCGAGGCTATGGTGGTTCTCTGCTCTAGTGAAATTCAGTGTCAGGTATTTCTTAATGCCACCTGTTGCAAAGCGTTGCCCTTCGTGTATTGTGCCCAGGCTAAAGATTTTTGGAATGCAAGAACCCACGTGGATCTTGGATTGGAAAATGAACTGGTATTGCACATACACCCAGGAGAAAGGCTGAGAAAGATTTAATAAGTTGAAGTGTGTTGAGAACCATTGAAATATTTTAAAAACTCTTAAATAATCCCTGGTGGGCACTTGCATCAAAAAACTAAAATGTTATTGCCAATCTAAAACTAAGAATAATTTTTCCCAAATAGGAAGATATTGTCTAAGAAGGAATAAAATGCTGGAAGCCTATATTCAGACTATGTTAGTCTTGACTGGTAGTTTCATGTATGTTTATATCTTCATATTTATACTTTATCTCACATAGATATCTTAAGATTAATTACATAACTATCGGCACATGGGTCATTAAGGATTACAGAGCTGTCTTCATGCAGCCAAATTGAAAGCTTTCCATAATTCTGAAAATGTAATAGTTTCATTTTATTTTTTTGACTCCTAATTTTATTCTTAGGCAATGGTTAGTGAATTTTTAGTTCAGATTGCAGAATGTTCATAAGACCCTTTAGATTTAGCAGCCTAAAATTAAATTAATGCCTTTGTTTTTTAAGAGTATTAAATGAAATACTTGGAACGCACTCTGCATTGTGCCTGATGTATGAGGCATTTAATAGAATTTAGTTCTCTCTGAATCAACATTTTGATTGTTGGAGTCGTATTACCAGATAGGTAAGTACCATTCATTGCCAATTCTCATACATTCTTCAACTTTTCTTAATTTGTGTCACATTATCTTGTTTTACATAATCCAAATGAAAATGAATTCCATCATTATACTATCTCAACACCAATACAAAATTATTCCAACAAAAATATTTTTTCTTAGAGCCACTAAAACTGAACTAAGTACACTGCTCACATTCTAACAAAATTTTGTGGAAAAGTAATTTGTCTGAATATATATGAAATGTTCTGAAATATTTTGAATAAACTCTATAGCCCTGAAATTTTCTATTTTTCAAATGTTTATACGTACTGTTCATTTCAGAAAGTTTACAAATGTTAATGTTTCTGTATATTTTTCATTTGAAATAAAATGCATTTTAATTATGTTTGTTAGACTTCAGTTTGTAGTTAATTGAAGTTAAGTGTATGTTAATGGCAAAAATAACCCCCATTTAGATTTGAGACTTTTTTTTTTTTTCCAAGTTTTGAGGTTAAAAGAAAAATCTGCACTTAGGCTAACTTTGCTTTGTCATTTTCCGTGAAATTGAAGTCTGTTTTTTAGAAGAAGGCTCTCCATAAAACCATTTCCTGTATAATTGATTTGACACCTGAACCAAAGGTAGGAGAAACTGTCTTATCTTTCAATAACTGTATTGAACAAGATAGGAGTACAAAGCAGTCAGTATAATGAAATTGCTTAGGTCAGCAATTTAGAAGGAGAAAGCATTTTAAAAATACTTAGTAGCATTGCATTATATTAAGTTCACATTTGCAAACTCAGCAAATTAAAGAAACAGAGGAAGAGGGAGAAAGCATTATAAAAATATTTGGTACCATTGCGTTACACTACAAGTTGCATTTACAAACCCTGAGCAAATTTCCTTCTGGCCCCTGTAGGACTAAATCTTTGCTTCACGGGGGTGTCTGGCTGGCTCAGTCCAAAGAGCAAGTAACTCTTGATCCCTGCACCATGAGTTTGAGCCCCAGGTTTGGGATAGAGTTTACTTACAAAAATATTTTACATGCATTGACCACATCACTATGACTTTATCAATTTGCCCTGTTTGGATTTGAACTCATGTTTGAGGACAACTCTCTCGTTGTTTCTATGGAAATGAATCGTCTAGGATACAAAAGGCCTCTTTTTACAGTATCCCCTGCCCGCCCCCCTTCCCGCCATTGTATAAACAAAGAAACAATAAGCAATTCCTTAAATCACGTGGTTACCAACACCTCAAAGTACTCAATCCACTGACTGTAAGAGATCCTAAGGAGGGCTTGGTGAAGTACATCATGTATAGAAGCAGTTAGAACACATTTTTCACAGCAAGCTGTGTCTGTGCTTAAACATTTCAGCCTCCTGGCTGCCGTATGTAGGAAGCCTCTAAGAGGTAAGCATAGGTTACAAAGAGGATTAAATTTCATTTATAACAATGAGCAACATATTTTTCCCAACTGAAAGCTTTGATTGGTTGCAAAAAAAACAAAAAACAAAAAAACACCAAAAAAGCCTTTTGAGGGAGCTGACTGCCCAAGCCACCCTTTCACCCCTTCAGTTACAAATCATGACAAACCCTTCTTCTGGAGGGAAAACTGAATCTCTATAAATGCCATCGGTACAGGAGAAAATCTTTGAGTTGGAAGGCATTTTAGTTTCGTTTTATGTAGAACCTCCCCTGTGGCTGAGAAGAGAGTAGAATTTTTGCAGGCCAAGCTCTACCAGCCTCAAGAGCTTTTCTGGCCCTCAGAAGACGAGTCCTGACACCAGTTTCCTGTACTGGGACACTCATAAGACCATGTGGACCTCCCTCCCACTCAGTCCTGAATAAGCCCCAGGAACTACTTGGGGGAGGGGGCGAGGAAGCAGATAGAGTTGGTAGTGTAGATAAAGGAGCCATGCTCTGAATACCCTGTTCCCAGAATCCCCTTCCATTTTCTGCCTTCCGTGATCCAGTCCGTAATTCCTGGCTGCCACTAAACAGCCATCAACTCATCCCGGCCCAAAAGCTCGTGGGCTGCTCTGCAAATGCCTTCTCCAGGGACTCACGGACCATAGAAAGCAAATTCGTCCCAATGGAGAAAGCCTCTGGATCTCCCCTAGAATAGATTCTGGGCAATGACATGCGGCTCCTCCTAGAGGTAAGTGTACTTAACAAACGTCCGGATAGTACACTCAAAGACATCCACAGTCTAAGCTCAA